GGATAAACATACAGTTAATGCGTTAATAACACAATCCCTGTAGAGACGACTCAGTAACAAAAGCGTAGTTAGACTGCTAACACAACAACAATAATAACAACAACAACAATTAGTGCAACAAAAACAAAAGATAATATTAACACATACAAAGGCAGAAACACACACACTCATACATACGTGTATGCACTCTCCAACAATGACAACATCAACACGGGACAACAAAGCAATACTAACGGTACAATGAAGGTCAGTTAGTTGGCTAAAATGAGGTCAGTTACAAGACGCAAAGTGGGTACGGGGAGCGAGGCGCCCCGAGTTGTAGGAAATTAAGTCAGTTGTCCAATATGCACACATTATTGTTGTTTTTTGTTGTTATCCACACGCTTGAACACTTCTTTTGCGCCACAACTACTTTGGAGTGCGAATTGAAGTTGAAATTGCTTGCCACCGACACCGACACCACAGGGGCAACAAGTGGGCAAGTGCGCGGAGAGTGCGGCGTTCTTTAGTAAGTAATTGTTCAATTTGGGCGCATGAAATATAAATGAAGATAAGATTGGCTGGAGTGCTCGGATATTATTTGCGAGTTTAGCAAGAAGCCACAAGAAAACACAGAGAAGATACAAAACACAAAATGAAATTGCATAAACAATGCGAGTTCTCTCTCCCCCTCTGGCCGCATAGGAGACACCAGCGAAATTAACACAGACGGAGTTGGTAGAGCTGGCTTAGAAGCATTCATTACCGTTGCTTGCGAATACATTTTTATTTAAAATTTATGAAAAAATGCAACTCAATGAATGAAATATGAATTTTGTTGCTTTTACTGTTGGATTCTTGGAGAAATTAAATGAAAGTCTTAATTTATGCATAAAAGAAAATTTCGCAAGGACCAACTCCATTAAGGGCTAGCTTTTCATGTATTTAAAATCAGCTCTGTAAATGTAATGCCGCACATTGCATACATTGGACTTCCGAACTGAGTTCCTAAGCACTTAGGCGATTTTCAAGCTTAAAAAACTAAACTTTTGATCACAGGTAGCCTCAAAAATATGTTTAGAATCGAACTATCACTAAATTTGGGCGATGGATTCCATCGGATGGTATATGTTAAGATTCACATATACAACTGGCGCTCTTTGGAGAACCTGTACTCATTAACAGATTTTCCCGAAACAATAAAGGTTTAATTGAATAAACCGATAAATATATATTTAATATATGAAACTATAGTGTCAGGGTTTATCATTTTCGGATGCTGGTCGGACCAGGACTCGAAATCACTTGGCCATCGCGGCTGCCGACTGATATTTACGAGGTATTTTTGTGTAAAACTGCAACCGTGAGCCTGGGAGCCCAACCACTATCCGCTTATAGTCAATTCACTTTTGACAGGGCAGCTTGTGGAGGAGCTAGAATCGTTCCATATGCTGATGATATTATCATAGCATATAAGGTGAGCTTCCACAAACTCTTTGCGGCTTGATGAAGGGTACTTTGCGGAAAGTATCTGACCGTTCTAACTTTGTGCCATTTCAAATAAGGTGAAACTCGTCGTATTCATAAAAGTACCGGCAATAAACTCTTCAACTTTAATTGCTATTCTTAGACTTTACTTAAAGTCGAATTAATGCAGCCGCACTGCTACTCGCAAATAAGGTTGTAGGAATTTAGACAGGATCCGAACTGGGAGTTTCTTTCAAGTAACAGTGTAGAAGCTCTAAGAACGATGAGGAGCAAGAAACGGTCTCTCATCCTCTATGTGACTACCACGCCTTGCGCAGAGTTAGGTTCCAATATCTGTGAGCTGCTCTCATCCGTGATTTGTATAAGACAGCAGTCATCATGATAAATAATTTAATGAATTTTATAACGAAATCGAAGTGTATAAAAGTAGATAAGCTTAAGAAATGAGCCTTTATTATAAATCCAATATGCCTCATTGAAAACGGTACATATACTATTGTCTAGGAAGTTCCAGCTTCCAAATGGCATTTAATAATTCCCCTTACGTGTTTGCTAAAAACTTCATATTAAGGTGCAAATTTTGCATATGTATTAAGAGTGGAACTTTTATATTAGACTTAAATGGCAAAAGGTAGAATGGTGATAGTTGTTTCGAAAATTATCTCATCTTCTCAACTGCAGAGGCTCAGGCATTTTTGTTCTGTTGTGTTATTATGCTTATACAAATACATGCATGTTTCTACTTCCCCATCACTTACCTATCAAAATATCAGAGCACAAAAAATACTCGATAATTATGTAAATACTTTTGGCCTCATAAACGCACTTCAACACAAACACAAAATGTTCATCTGCTTTGCTACTCGATGAAAAATTGTGCGCTATTGATTCGCTGTCACACTTCACTGCCACTCGACTAAATCTCCACAAGACAGTTATTGACGATTTTCAATAGAATTAAATGAAATACTGTAAATGATCATCGGCCCTTACAGCGAAATGCATTTATTTATTTTATTGCAAAACACATATACGAGTATACATATACGAGATGTGTTCAAAAAATATCGCGAATTTTGTGTTTTTTCAAAAATTATTTATTTATTCTCGAATATCTATTTTGTCCCCTTCAAAGTAATCCCCATATTATACACTTGTGCCAACGGTTTTTCTAATCTTCAAAGCACTTTAAAAAATCATTTTTTTTTTATCTTCTTCAGCTATTCCTTCGATGCCGTCTTTATCTCGTCAATCGTAGCGCAACGTCGTCCTTTCATGGGCCTCTTCAGTTTAGGGAACAAGAAAAAGTCACATGGGGCCAGATCTGGGGAATACGGTGGCTGCGGCATCAGTGTGTTGTTTTTTTTCCAAAAGTCGCACACAAGTGTGAGCTGGGGAGTTATCGTGGTGCAAAAGCCAATTTTTGTTCTTCCACAAATCCGGGCGTTTCTGACGGATTGCTTTGCGCAAATTGTGCATACTTGCAGGTAATATTCTACCCTGTGGCAATACCATTTTCTCCACTTCATTAATTTTTTGGTCTGTTGTTGAAGTGCTCCGGCGTCCGGCCGAAATTTCAAAATTCGCGATACTTTTTGAACACACCACGTTTATTATATATGTATAAGAGCATAATACGAAATGGAGGCATGAAAAATTGCAATATTATTTTTTCAATTCTAAAATCTCTAGTAGTGTAGTAGCACAAAATTTGTTTGCAATTCATGAATGCCTATTTAATAGCTATAATCACAGATGGGCAATAATGCATCAGAGCTGCTTTTACGCCACAATTTCACTATTCCGTTTTCATGTAATATGGCTTTCCACAGTGCGTCCTTTTGATTTGAAAACGCAGCAGAAATATTAGTTTTTAGTAAAAGTTAATAAAATAGAGAATTGAATTGGTGATGAAAGTGCCAGCATGTGAAATCAGACAATAATAAAAAAATTCATTACATCAACGCATTCAATCGAAATTGTGCTATTTTGCTCTGCTTGTAACTTCAACAAGCTTAATATCTGCACGTACATCATGGTTTTTTAAAAAAACTTCCAATTTTTTTCGTTTCAAATAAATGTTCGAAATGAACACAACGATTTGGTGGTGATTCGCTTGGTAATTGAAAGTGAACTGCCCACTTTTGGCGTGGTTTGCTCTCGAAAATTTGTAATTAATTTGCAATGAGTAATTCAGCATGTACTTGGAGTATGAACTAAGATTGAGAAGTCGAAGGCAGGGACGCGAATTGGAGATTTGTTATTTGGAATTCCATGTCTTTGCTGCATCAGTATGAAAATGGCTAATTCTTCCATGTTATGGGAATCCTTTCCATTGTTTGGACATTATAAAATTTTCAAATGCTTCTTTATTTATCCTCTACAACGAAAGAAATCTATAAATACTTTGAGCTCACAACTAAATACGCACTGAAATGCACTTGCACTGCCTCTAGAATACCTGAGGAGCGATCTCTTATTGTTTCCAATTATTTCGATGTATCATATTTATAAGGAAATACAGAGATATGTTATTAAAGTATTTATAAGAAGAAAATTGAGTAAAATTCATTACACCTCAGACCAATTAATGCGATTGGCGATTTCGGTACCAAAACGAACATGTCGGATTGTGTTAGCTTATTCGTGATGACTAAATTTTATTTAAACACTTTCAACAACGCATAAATTTTGCTTTTGTAAAAAATTTTGTTATATGCAAGATCGTTTCTGTAACGGTTTTCTTTTCTTTGATGGATTTTTTGTTTCGATTTTCGTAGAGTTGTGGCTGCGATACCACCAAATGTGGACCAAAAGTGGTCAAAAATTACATCAGTGGATCTAAAAAAGACACCCTTAGTTCGGAACCAATTCAAACAAGGGTGTCTGGAGAAAGAAATCTGATGAAGAAACGTGCTGTTTTCCGAATAGCAGCAACAACTTTACCGTAGAACTGTTTTTGTAATTTTTTAATTATTTCATAAACAAAATATATGGTCTGATTCAGCTCCATCGTACTAAAACCAAAAAGGATCTAATTTTGGTTTGCAAAAATTTGCGATGCGGTCATTTGAATGAACTACCGTTTCATATATACATATATAAGACAATGTCATAAATGAGTTCAATTTCGAAACCCCTTTATTTAGTATAGATACATATTTTTTTTGGCAGCAGTAAATTTGGCTGGAAGATCCCAATCGGGTAGAAGGCTAAACTAGCTTAGCTTAGTGTTGTGCAAGCTTTTGGAACATGGTGGCTGTTCTTCAATATCTGATACGCAGTGCTATAGAGCCGTTGTATGCTTTGTAGTCACGACAGCCGAGTAGTGAGCGGTTGTTATGCATGATGTTCAGGTTTCGCCCTTTGCTGTATGAATGAAGTAGTATTTAACTAGTATGATGCTGATGGATTGCTCGAGGACTCCTCAATTCCATTCATATTATAACAAACTTCAATTAAATCGTTATCATTTTCTCGCTAAATCAATAAAACCTTTTCGGCAGCTTTACTTCAGAGTATTCACACTCCTCTTATAAAGCTTTTCCTTATGAACTCTTTAATAAATTGCCATGCATTTAACTGAATATTTGTACAATTTAAAATTTTACAAAACATATCCACATAACATACAAACACGCAAGTATCTTCAATATTCCAGAATCTAATTACATAAATATTTATATTTGTTCTTTGCACTCTCCCACTTGACATGAAAACACTGAATTTTGTATTGCAGATACATATATACTCGTACATACATATTATATATAGTTAAGAGTAGAAAATGGGATATTTCTTTTTTACAAAAATAAATGCGTATGTATGTAGCAAATGTCTTTAACCAGCTGGTGTAGCAAAGGTTCTTCCTAAGTATCTACGGAAGTGAATATATTTTTATGAAGACGTTCATATGTTTGTTTGTATGTATATATGTATTTATATGTTGAATGCTCTTATATGCATTTTCCACTTGTTTACTTTGCAACTTGTCTTTAGATAATAATAATAACACATACACACATACATATGCACACACAAGCGTTCAAAGCAACTTTGTGGGTAAAAAGGACTTTTCAGCACAAATTGTGTGGACACTTGAAGCGATGCGCATTATTACTGACATTCTCACCCTCGCCATCGCCCCTGTCATTGTTGTTTTGCGGTCAAAAGTTTTTCACTTTTTTGTATGCACAAATACTTGTCAGGTTGGTTGCTTAGTTGATTCTTCTTTCGCTTTTGCTTTGTTGATGTTTGAAGAGGGCTTTGCATGAGGGCAAACACTTGAGAAAACTGAAATGTAAACAGAAATGTTAGAAAGCCGGACGAAGGACCTGGACCAAAAGTGGTATTGATATTATCTTTTCAATTGTATGTGTTTGTCAAATGTCGTCGCAGGAAAAAACTCTGAGTTTCGAAAGTTGTGTGAAACCTCTTTGGGCAGTGAAGTACGATCGTCACGCTTGGCGTTCTTCTTCTAAAATTCATTAAAGGTTTGACGGATTTGAACATTTGTTTGCCATTTTTACTACAAATAAATATTAGTTAACGGCTGCTACCAGTAAAAATTGTAGGCCAAACAAAGTTAAAGCTTAAATAAGCACTAAACTAAAGGTATCGAAATGCCAAGCTTAAGCTTATGAGGTTTATGAAAGATTTCAATGGGATCATCGTTCAGACGGCCTGCCATTTTTCCTTCAAAGTAAAGCAAAAGTTTACAAATTCCTTAAAGACTCCATGTTGGAATAATTATGGCAATATGACAGCGCTTGGCCTCATGTGGCTATAACGAAAAAGAACTATCTAGAATCCCGACTTTGCTCCTTCCGACTGCTTGTTCCACGGATTTGGGGACTCCCCAATACGGGTAATTTGAAGAAACCGAAGAATACCTAGACGATAGGAGTGAGGACAGAAAGTACTAATTTAGCAGAATGATAGGAAAAGGTAGTCGCTTTTTAGAATATAATCCACTATTTGGTGTTTATGGTCCTGATAATGTCACAGTCAATCACGTACGATTTCTGTTTCTTCCAAGTAATTTTGATATAAAAGATACTTTTGATCTGTTTCGAATGCCCAAGAGCTAAATATCACACAAAATACTGTTTGGAACCATTTGAATATGGCAGGATATGAAAAGTAGAGATTAAACCGTTCAATTTAATACAAAAATAATGAATTTCTGTCTACCACACCTAATATATCTATGTAGGAAGGAAATGCTCATAAGTATTTTCGAAAGTCAAACATATACCTACTGGGTGCAGACAAACATATATACGACTGTATATGTATATATTGATTTTAATCGGTTTGCCATGTCACTTCAAGGTGAAGAATGGAGATTTTTAAGACATTGTTTGTGTTACATCTTTTGTGATGAAAGGTTTGCCAAGTGTTCCAAGGAACTTAAGATTTTTCTGCTTTTGACTCCAAAAACACATATGTAAAAGTCTAACTAGAAATGTTTCCAAATAATTATCAATATGACAATACGGATGAGCTGAAGTCTGCTAACTACAGGAAATGGTCTAACCTGGTTGGTAAGTCTTCTAAGGAAATTGATTGATGAAAAAATATTGTTTTGCGTCTCAAGGACCAATAGCACACCTTTCGGTTATTATTTAGGAATAGCAACTGACCAAAAATCTCTTTAAGGACAGTGGAAAGTGTGTGGCCGATTTGAAATAACCTGTGAAAGGTTTTCGTTCTGACAACTCTTTTTGACATCCAAATATCATTTTACCAATTAACTATCCTGCTTCAATTATTCGTCAAAATATTCGATAAGGAACTGGTTCTGAAACGCACTTCAAACGAAAAAAGAAATTCAAAGTTCAGTTATACTAATTAAAAAAATTCATCTGTAAATCCAGAGCCACACAATCCTTCCAGCTGCGCTCAAACATTTCAATACCACTTTTGTAGCTCGATTTATCTCTTGTCGCAACATTGTCCTGAATTTCAGCAATAACCTTTTCATTTTTTCCGGTGAACATTTTTGAAAACTCTGAACTGTACGAGACGATTTGATTGAATTACACAGTGCGTAGTAAAGACAAAATTTTTGTTCCCTGCCGTAAGCGCTCCAATAAAATATATATAATATATATGTATAACGTTGATGGTTTTTCTTTTCCATGTACACCCAGAAATACTGACCCTTTTTCGGGAGGGTACTTGTCAGAATGATGAGTTATCCCCTCTTCCCTGGATCCTAACAATGAAGAAATTATTGTTGGAACAAGAAAGAAAGTGAGTTATTGTTGAGGCTTATATAGAACATATGGCCGCAGCAGTTAGAGGGAAATTTGTAGATACCCTCACCAATCTTTCGGTATAAATCGCCTTGCCATGTTATGCGGCTTAAGCCACATGTTATTACTCAGGCAATCCTTCAAGGTAGCCCTCGCCTTTGGAGAAAGACGTAGGGAATACCATCCTAACGGTCAGAACTAAATTAAAAACTCGAGGTAAAGGCGATGTCTTTTCGACAAAAATAGCTCTTACTCTTTTCAAACCTCTGCAATATTTTTTAGGCAGAGATTGACAGATCGGGTTCTTTCTACAAGAAATATTTATGTATATAAAGATAGCTAAGTGGCTCTCAAATCACAAAAGCCTTTCAGAATCACATCACAGATAGTTAAAGAGCTAAAGAGTGTGTTGATCTCATGGCAGAGCAAGCTTCGTACTACACGATAAATGGGCTCCACACCACAGGGATATCCAGCAGATTAACTAGGCAGATTGGACACGAATTTACAATTAGAGCCAGGTAAAGAAGCAGGACATTTATGTATATGCTAATGGCTATCTATAACAATCACTGAATTGCTCAACAAACAAACGAACTTGGCTTGTGGATTGCGTGTGGGTCATGCATGCCGATTATTGGAATTTTATCGAAATGGCGTAGGAGTGGTCACAGTCTTATTGTCAGACACGCCGGTAGACGCAACTAGAGAAGAAATGGTAGATCATCTTATGTAATGTAAAAAAATAATGCAAAAGATTATTCAGAAAAAGGTCCGCAACTATCGGCAATGATTTTCTTGACAATATCTCTGAAATATTTAGCTTAGATAGCTTTATTGAGACCATGGTTTTCGGTCGAGCCCCTCCTCCAGTTCGTGGCATTCAACATAACAAAAGGCTTCCTCCTTACCCAGAATTCATTCTAAGCCGCCGAGTTTTAAGAGGATCTTTTTATTATAGTAATTCATTCGGAGGGCTTGGCATTCTCTGCCAATTTTCTACAATTTTTCTTAGATGTGTTTTTGCACCTGGACCATATCTAATTTTATGGACAGAAAATCCAAGCGCACACTCACACACACTCACACATACAAACAAACAATTTATTATATTCAATTACTTGCTGTAACATTCCGGCACATCTCCATCTCGAATCCATTAATATTCCGTTTTAAAAGCGTGAATGGAAGATTGGGTACTTGTTGCATGATGCCCAAGCTGTTGCTTATAGGTTTTTACAACAACAATAACACTTTAGTACACCAATATTGCACTCAGGAATCAGCACTCAGCTGCCTTCAATCACTTTGGCTTTCAAGTATTGTCTAAAAGCAACCAGCAATGGATTGAACCTTGCAGCAGCAGCGGCACTTCCTCCTCTCAAACTTCTTTGAGAAATCAGCAAACAAAGTGCTTAGCAATGGGGCCACCAGGCTTGAGTATTACTCGCTTAAGGAATGGTAGTAATGCCAGATATTGCCTCAGTGACGACATGGCTCCATTCTTTTCTCTCTTCTTCACCAACACCACCACCACCACCACCTCCATCCTACATGGACTGCCTCATTTGCCGCTACTTAGCTCCACTCTCTACTTTCGCCAATGTGAACTTAAGTGGCACCAGCAACTTGCTTGCTACATGCCACACGCCTCCAGCAGGCAACATCGAGGGCATCGCACCCAACCCTCGTCATCGACAGTTAGAAGCATCAGTATTTGAGCGCGGCTAGTTATCTATCGCGCGCCTGAAATCTGGGCGTCTTTCCGTTTTGTTCGGCGCTGTGCGGCGCCTGTGGCAAGTGGCAAGACACCGAGCCAATGGCACTTGGCGCATTGCCAATTTTAGCTACAACATCAGCGGATGTTGCAGCAATGAAGTGGCAGTTGGTGAAGCGCTTTGGTTGTTGTAGTTGCTGCTCTGTTCTTCTTGTCTATTTGACATCCTCTGCTTGTAGCTCTGCCGGAATTGGCAACACGATTACCGATATGCACGACTCACGGCGGTGCTTTGGCTCTAATGCTGCTGATGTTGTTACTGCAACATTCACATTTTTAATCAGAAACATCAACAACAACAACAGCAACAGCAACAGCAGCAGCAGCATTAGCCGAAGTAAGTGCGCTTTCGGCACTAATACTGCCGACACGATTACCCACAGCGTGGGAGGTAGGGCGGGGCTATGCGAAGTGGCGGCGCGTACCGGTTTACAACTGAAGAGCCTTGTAAAAGTGTGAGGACACGTTTCAGACCCGGCGCTCGGAGCATTTGAACTCAAACATAGCAAACGGGATAGAAGAACAAAGCGAAGAGTGCAGAAAAGATCAGAAAGTGCATTTAAGTGCAGAGTATTGGCATTGCTTACCCTCAAACAAACATACCCGGGCACAGATATACTCATACGTACAAACACACTTGAATTTGCTCCAGTTTTCGCTTACATCTTTTGTTGCCATATTTTATTTGCTGCTCGAACACGGATTTGTTTTTCAAATGTATCAGCGTTGAAGAAAATCTGCTTTCGTTAAGCCGAGTGAAGTGGCAAACAGGAAATGCGCCAGTATTTGATTCCACGCAAGGACTATTGTACTCGTATTTCTTCGCTTGCATATTGTTGCCACTAAATAACAACAACAACAACTAAATGACAGCAGATAAAATAAATAGAAGTGGAACCATCGTTGTTGGTGTTGCTTGTTAGTATGCACATTGTCAGCAGTGGGGTGTTTTTGTGTATTTACAATACAACACAAGACACGTCCCTTGAAATAGGAGACTGCTCAAATGCGAAACGTAAAATCAGTAACTGTAAGACCGTCTCTTCGGTACCTTTTTCATGCCTAAAGTGATTCGTGATTTTTTCTTAGATGACAATGATTACTTTTCGAGTCTTCCTGCAGCAAACAAATCATAATTATTGTTGTTATTGTGATCCAAAAAAATAGTATCTGATCGGTATACAACCACTCAAAATATCATATCTCTTTTGACATATTTTTCGGAAAGATTATTATTGGGCCCATAAAGTGAATTG